GACATCAAATGTCCACGCACCTTCGATATCGTGAACCTTGAGTCCTATGACATCATCCTAGGGATACCGTTCCTGTTTCAACATCAAGTACTGTTAGGTTTCAATCCACCCAAAATCAAAATCCGTAGTATCGAGCCTTTACCTATCCGCGGCGCGCAGACTCAAGTTCTCGAACTGCGAGGAATAGACGTGTCCTCCAAGGAAATAAGAACCTACATTAAAGAACTTCGTCAGTATTCGAGTGACATTTGCAAAGAGGCAGTAGACACACTATTACCTCCACTCAGAGCAATCAATCACGTCATCCCCCTTGTCGACGAAGGCCATGCATACACGTGGAGACAGTCCAAATGCCCAGAGGCCTTGCGCCCCCTTTGGCGCACCAAGCGAGATGACTATATCCACACGGGTCGCTGGGAATTCTTCAGTGGTACTAATGCAGTACCTATGATTATGATGAAGAAGGCTACAAAGGATGGAGAGCTTCGACTATGCACCGTCCTTGATATGAGACAGTGCAACAAAAATACCCACAAACTAGCGTCCCCGCTCCCCGATATTGATACTATCCTAAGAAACGTCTCGTCACATCCTTTTTGGTCGCTCCTGGATGGCAAAGACGCGTATGAGCAGATATGGATAGTACCAGATGACGTACCTAAATCTTTATTCGCTACACCCGATGGCACTATGATTAGTCATGTTATGCAAATAGGAGATTGTAACACAGGAGCCACGTACCAATCACTAATGAATCATATTTTCGGCCCATACATAGGTGTGTTCATGGACGTGTACCTCGATGACATAGTCATCTACTCAGATACTCCCGAAGATCATGTACGACACGTGAAGACCGTCATTGACACCCTGAGAGATAATCACTTTTATTTAAGTAAACATAAACTGCAGTTTTTCAAGAACGAGCTCACCATTCTGGGGCATGTCATAGATGACCAAGGGATACGTCTGGATCCGCATAAGGTCGACAAAATTACCAACTGGAAGACGCCTACCTCCAAAGAGCTCTTAATGCAGTTCATCGGCTCTGTCGGATATCTTGCTGCCGGCTGTGAGGGCATACGGGTGCACATGCAGCACCTCTCGAAAGTTGCTGTGCACACCATCCATTGGGAATGGACCCCAATGGATCAACGAGTGTTTGATCTAGTATGGGTGTGCGTCAATGCTCACTGAGATACGAGATGAAAAGCACTTGACTTACCTAGCACTCTCAATGGCACATCTCCAGTCAACCTCGTGACTGACACATCCTTTACAGGAGCAAGTGGCATGCTTTCACAGGGCGACCCAGTCCAGCAAGCCGATGTGGTCGCGTTCTGGTCCGGGAAGTTCAACTCCGTGCAACAGAACTACCCAATCCATGAACAGGAACTGTTAGCAATTGTAGAGTCATTGAAATGATTCCGTCACTTACTGATTGGCGTCCAGTTCCGCATTTTCATGGACCATAAGGGCCTGGAGTGGATTACCACTCAACATAAATTATCACCTAGACAAGCCCGGTGGTTAGAGGCATTGAGCGAATTTGATTTCCAAATAAAGTACTTACCAGGGGCAGACAACACCCTTGCAGACGCGCTGTCACACATGTACAGTAACAAGTCTAAGGGTACTGTCAGAGCTCAAAGTGAGTTTGTAAGTGTAGAGGAGGAAGACGTACCCAGGACACTCCTCCTCAACTTTGTCACGGCTCTGGTATACACTGGCACACCCCTCTTCCTAGGTGCAACCGAGAACCGACGATCCATGCGCCTGGCAGAAAAGATAGTCAGTGGTCCCAGCGACACCCAACCTGGCCGCAAGCGCACCAAATGCACTCACCAAAGTAAACCAGATGGCCAGAGCAAAGGTGTGCCCCAACAAGTCTTAACCGGCCCGGTCAGCAGAGGTGTTCCACAACAGGTCCTGACAAACCTGGCAGACAGAGGTGTGCCTCAACAAGTCTTGGCAAACCCTCAAGGCAGAGGTGTTCCTCACCAGGTTATGACAAAGCCTCAGGACAGAGGCGTACCCCAACAAGTCCTGACAAACTCGTTTGTCATATCCAAGCTACCAGATGAACAGGGCATCAGTAAGGGTGAGCCATCCAGAGAACCACTCACCAAGCACGACATGAGGTCCCTTAAACCGGCAAGCGACATGAGATTGCTTAACCCGGCGGACGACATGAGATCCCTTAAAAAGAGGGACACCGAGGGCACAGGCCATACAGACCAGCTGCAAGCTAGCAACTCAGTAGACCGGGATATCACCGGAGGACAGAAAGGTGACTGGCGTAAAGACAATTAGCAATAAGGACAAAGACAGGTGCAACTTACCAGTAAACAAGAGCCTACAACATGACGTAAGCATAGAAGTTGGACGGTCTGGACAATTACAGAACAAACCTGATGACATAAGCAATGACGTCACGGGAACCCAGAACCTAAATGACGCGGTCCAACACCAAACTGTCACAAATGCTGAAGTAAGCGATGTCAATGGCGCAAATAAGGACCTACAAGCTGTGCAGACTGACCGTGCACCCTACCCTCCTTCTATTAACCCAAACGTCGAGTCCTACCCCACATTGACTGAGATCATTAATCTTGGCAACCTGACTATCGACATTAACGAGTCAGTTGCGAACCATTACCACGAAGACATGTTCTTCACTAAAGTCATGGAGAACCCAAGAGCATTTAAAAACTTCGAAGTGAGTGGTGGTCAAATTTTCCTGAGAAACAACGGAAAACGTACCCTATGCATACCAGATATTAAGATTGGCCCCAGACGGGCTCACGAGATCATGATCTCGCACGCACACTCCATTCTAGCTCACTTAGGACCCTCGAAGACGCTGCTTTACCTTCACAAAAGTGTGTGGTGGAAGAGCATGATAGCTGACGTCCACGCCTTTTGTGAGTCATGTCCAATGTGCCAAGTCTCAAAGCCGTCTAATCACCAACCCTATGGACTCCTGGAAACATTGGAAGTTCCAACACGCCCATGGGAGACAATTGGTATAGACTTCATTGGCCCCCTACCTGAGTCCAAAACGCTACTCAGTGTGTTTGATATGATCCTAGTCGCCATTGACCACCTCACCTCAATGGTCCACTTAGCCGCAACTAAACAAATGTATAGAGCGAAAGATATCACCAAGGTCATGTTCAATCTGGTATATAAACATCATGGTATGCCCGCCAACATCGTTAGTGATCATGACACGTTATTCACAGCACATTTTGGCAACACTTCCACCAGCTCACAGGTGTTGAATTCAGAATGTCCACCTCATTTCACCCTCAATCTGACGGGGCAACCGAACGCGCCAATCAAACCATTATGCAAATGCTGCACCAGATGACATCTCCCAACCAACGAGACTAGGCCATCAAGCTGCCCACCATTGAATTTGCTCTCAATTCCGCATGCTCTGAGACCACTAAGTATCAACCATGTTAAGGTCGTAGGATCGGATCCGAAGGACTTCGGCCTCAGCTCGTACGCTGTGCCCCTTTCCCAAGTACTGTCCCTTATTTCAAAGACTTAACGATAACACGTCCGAAGGTTCAGACGAGTCTCGTAGTTATATCTGGATGACTTCCGGATATCGGAAACGCGTATAAGACTAATCCAGACGGATCCGGACTAGAAACAAACAGAGTATAGACTATCCGAAGATAGAGGCGGAGACGTAGACTATCGGAATCGATCCGAAGTCTCAGAGATTGACAAGAGTTGTTTAGACTCAAGTCCGGAGGACAGAAAGAGGACAAACTAAGATGATATTTGAACTGAGGTACTACAGGAAATATACACGGGTTTATATACTAAGAGGATAACGGAAGGATCAATAAGCAAAGGTCCAAGGCTATGTATGAAGCATATGCAAAGCTTATCAAACGCGAGTCGGAAATGAAGCATAGGATAACGGATCAGTAATCATACCGGTAATAAGTATAACCGAGACACCGGGAAGAGGAAATACCAAATAGGCTGTGTTTAACGTTATATGAACAGGAAATGAATTAAGAAGCTTATCGGATATCGGATCAGACGCGGATCTATGCATCAGACCGGACCGGATCTAAGAGTCCAAAGTCCGGAAGAGAAGCGTGAATATATGGGATATGACACACCATTTGTACTTAACTATGGCAGACTCCCACCCCCACTCATTTGGAACACTAATTCCAAGTTCCCCGGAGTACATGTCTTTGCCCAGCGAATGAAAGACGCTATTATGAGTGCTCATGACTCCATCATAGCCTCCCACGTCAAAAACACCACAGCTGCCAACCGTAAACGACTAGAGTCCCCTTTTGTGAAAGGAGACCTTGTATACTTATCAATGGAGAACCTATCATTACCAAAAGGACGGGCCAGAAAACTTGCGCCTAAGTATATCGGCCCGTATCACATTATTGACAATTACAAGAATAACTCCTTCCTCTTAGACCTCCCATCACAACTTAAGCAACGAGGGATACATCCAGCATTTCACGCCCACCTCCTTTGTCTCCACGTCCCCAATGATGACTGTCGTTTCCCAGGGTGACAGCTGGAACACGCGTCCGATATTGGACACCTAGAGGAGTGGTCAGTATCTAGAATTTCCAATCACCAAGGTGTTGGCTCTGACGTGTTATTTGAAGTCAAGTATTCTACTGGCGATAGAGTGTGGCTACCCTACCACCAGATATCACGTCTAGAGGCTCTCACCCAGTACCTCGAAGCCCTGGGTGTCCCAGGCATATCTCACTTGCTGAGAAAAATTTCGACCTCATCAAACTCTATCCCCGTTTGCCTCACAGAACCTTTTTTTAAGGCCCGAGATATTGTCTTTGGCGTCACAGACTTAATGTTGTCTGATCTCGCCAGCCAATTCATTCTAAGCGAGTCCTCTGACCCTTATTTAATGAGTGAGCAGTGTACCAACCTCTACCGCCGTCTTCCCCTCATGCCAGCTCCCTCAACTCCTCCCTCCAATGATGCCATGCTCATCGACATATCACCCGCTCGTCGTGAGCCCGGAGAGCACACCCAGACCCATAGGTCTATCCGGGCTGGGAGAGGCCGACCTGGCCAAGGTTGAAGAGGCTGTGAAGGGCGTTTCGACCCTCCACATTGGCCTGACAAAGATGTGGATGCCCTAGGGGCATTCATGTGATTCTTTAGGGCGGAAGCTCAAGCCAGTGAGCACACCCGCGATGATACATTCCGCACCCCCACTCACCTCTGTTCCTTTTACCCAGAGGAGCTTGCTACGCGAAAGGAAGCTCATACTTTTGACCAGGAGATTCGAGCTGAGCGTGCTCGTGAGCTCAGACGATACGGCCATCGCAGCCATAACCTCACACTGGACCACCGTAACTCAGTGTCAGGTCCATCGTTCCGCTCCTCACACCCCAACTACTACCCTCGTGAACGGCTGGTCCATAGTCATTGGCCTAAGCCCCACACCACAGCTCAGGTCATTGCTGAGGTCAACAGCAATGCTGCTACCATCCTAGCTCCTGCTCCTGCACGTATTGTACCAGCGACAGACCCCGGGCCTGACATAGAGGAAATTATCGCAGCTGCCGAGCAGCTCGACCTCAAACAGGCTTCGCGGATGCCAGATGTCACCACCAAAGACATTTTCAGTAGACTCATTCTTATTGGTATATTGATAGTTAATGTACTTACCTTGGTCCTTCTCTCAGCTGCCTTTGCGTCCATTGGGCCAACACGCAAGAACTAAAGGAACTCGCATCACCTGAAGAAAGGTCCTCTCATTTAGAGGACCTGGAGGGTGTATGTAATGCTCGTCAAAAGCCAACATCTACTCATTGATGTTGGCAACCGATATTCCTTCTCATCACATTCTTTAGTTACTCATTTACCTTTGTTCCATTGTTTTCCACAGCATTCTTACCCTACAGTATATAAACTGAAGTACTGTATAATTTCGACCTTAGGTTCGTGGAAAATTCGCCCCCACATTATGTAATCATTTGTAGCATGTTCGTCGACCATCATGACATGTGACACAACCTAAAATAGCTTTGTCAAGTCACCGACCACCGGCATTGGCTCCAGCGATGCCTTTAGACTTGCAAGGATTCACACTACTTCTGTGTTGGCTTGAAGTCTGCCATTTGGGTGGGCAATACTCAGCTCAATTCTGGCTCATTTATAGGTGTGTGTCACACAGTTTGTGTCTTTGCTACCAATTACTCATGTTTCCTCACAGCAATCCAGCTTCAGATGTGCCCACAATCTCACACGATGTTGATATTCCTAGCGTCATTTCTGCAGAACAGAAGGATCGCCTCCTCAAATTACCTCCCCATTACACATATTTCATTCCTCTCTCGAGCCTCCCTGTCTCTGTTCTTGTCGACTCCACACCAACTCTTCCTGATTTTGATCCTGCACTCACTGAACTCGATACCTGCAAGTTTTTCTCCTCCGTCGAATGCAATACCTCCAATTTTGCTAGCAGCTTCTTCCAACACTCCATCCCACCTCTCCATTTGTCATCTCGACTTCTGGACACATTCGAACAGGCTGTACATGACGGAGCAAAGTCCATGTGCGACCCACATTTTCCAGGCAATTTGCCATGCTGGGTCCTTACCTATTGGTATGATGTAGGCCATGCAGTTGCCTCAAAGCAAACATGGTCTCTCGCACATAATTGGTTGGCACGCTGTGGCCTTGGTAGTCCTGATATCGAGCTTGCTGCTGCAATTGATAAAATATCTTGCGCATTGCAGACTCTTGGATGGGACACAGCATTGCAAGGTCCTGGAGCATTCCTTCAGACATTGGATCTTGCTGAATTCCTTGACTCGACACCAATGAAAGGCCACTTTGTTGATGCCATGGTCAATGAGATCTCACATCGCATTCAGTCTGACACTCATCTCCACAAGACAACAGTTGTTGAAGAGTTGACGTTTGGGAAGACATTGCGCTATGATGCAAAGCGATGGTCTCAATACATGTTTGACAGGGGCTTCACGAGGATCTGTGAACTCGGTGATTTGTTATGTGATGGAAAGCTCACGTCTGTTATTTTTCCCATCAATATCAATGACGTACACTGGACAGTTTTTTTGGTGGATGCGAAAAACAGAGAAATATGTTACGGTGATTCTTTGGGTTGGACATGGCCGAGAGAGGATGTTGATTTAATTCAAAAGTGGCTGCACGAGCATGGCTTTACATCATTTTCGAAAGGCGCGGAACTTCCTCATGGCCACCAAGAAGATGCATACTCGTGTGCAATTGCCATGATAAATATCATACGTCACCAGCTCTTTGACACCCCTCTGTTTACAGATGATAAAAAGGACCTGCTTCACATGCAGGAGCTCATATTCCTCCTCCATGGTCACTTTTCCGAGGACAATGAGGACAATGATGTATATATGTCAGACTACTCTCCTTCATCACCCTGTTTGTCTCACACAACTTCCTACTCACGCTCTCCATCCCCGACACCTTCTTTGCCCCCTCTGCAGTCTCAGGCCACAGCTCTCAAGTCTCTCAAGTCGCGTCCGAAAATCACACTTAATTATCGTGTCTCACCTTCTGAGCCCAAGACGGGACTCCTCAAGCACTTCAGCATCGTCTCGCATGAGGATTATCTTGCTGATATCCATCAGTGTGACCTCAAGCACAAAGACAAGCAACACAACATCAAATTTTCAAGAGCACTTAAGGATGCTGAGCGTAAACACCAGAAGTGTATAAATGACAGGGACCGCCAGCGTGCACACCGAGCTCGTGCAAAAGAGGTTTGTGTTTTTGATAATGTCATCAATAGAACACGCATGTTAATGTATACACTTGCAGTTGAAACGGTCAGCCTCTGAAAACGACACCCAAGTTCACTCCAAGTCAGATCCTGATACATCTGCTCTCCAATCAAGCCAGTCTCTTGCGGAGCTCTCACGCCCCCATTGTTCGGTCAAGGAGGAGCTTCACTGTTAAGAACGTGCTCAAGGGTCGGATCCGAAGGGCTTGGCTTCAGCTCATGCACTGCGCCCCTAACTTCCGAAGGCTATCGAACGATGTCTGAAGGTTACCGGATGATGTCCGGAGGGCGTCGGGCGATGTTCCGGAGTCCGATGTCCGATGCGCGGGAATTCCGGCGGACATTTGGGAACAAGAGATAAGACTAATCCGGATGAAGTCCGAACTAGAAAGGAAACAGCGGAGGACTACCAGAGGTAGAGGCGGAGGTGACAAGTCTATAGGAATCGATCCTAAGACGAGCGGAGGTCGACGAGAGAGAAACTCAAGTCGGACGGAGGAGAGAATGAGCAGAGTCTAAGATGATATTCGAACTAAGGATGTACATAGATTCTACAGGGTTTATATACTACTGAGGACTTCTCGGAGAACAGAGATGCGCAGTCCGAAGCTATACAAAGCTGTGGACAGAGCGTATAGAAAAGTCAAACACTAGTCTATCAGAAAATAGTAAATGAACCCGGAGATTAGAACAGATGAAAATAAAGGCGGAAATGAAATGAGGTACGGAAAATGATATAGTCTAACTGGAGTAGGAATGTACAAAGGGATAAGGCATGGAAGTTAGACGCGGGTCAGATCCGGACTTCCGGAAATGATGTGTGTGATAGGTCCGGGTCCGGAACGCGGGATATGACAGAGGAGCTTCACCGAGTAAAAAAATCATCGCATGCTGGTCAAAAATGAGTTCGCAGCCCAGTTGATGCTCAACACGTCAACTGGCAAAGCCCTATCTTTTGGCCAATGATTCTCAAAGCAGCAAGTCTCAGTGCTGGACTCATGATGTCACCCCATGCCATATGTTATCATGCACGACAACTAGATTCACGTTGTCGGTCTCTCACGCCCCAAGTTGTTGGTCGTTGGATTGATCGCACAGGATCACATCCAAGGTGGAAAGACAGGGTTGTAGAACGTGCAAAGAGGGGCAACCTGGCATCAGGTGTCGTCACATGAACAAGTATCCTTACACCCTATCCTGACACTGTGAAGAAAATTGTCCACCAAATACGCACACTTTGCCAAGTTGGTGTCGCACTCAGCACTTCTCGTTGTCGAGGTATCATTGTTGGTGTTCTTCGCCATGACTTACCAGCCATTTTCACTGTGAAAGCAAAAGATGGCTCTGTGTTCAAATGTTCAGACTCATGGGTGCAGACATTTCTGTATGATCAGCTGCAGTACACCATGTGCAAAGGAACTCGCGCAGCACAAAAGCTGCCTCCCAACATTGACAATGTCTGCTTAGAGCAGTTTCTTCGACTCACTCTCACAATCTGCGACGATGTTATCACACATCCAGAGTTTCTCATCAATATCGACCAAACCAACATTGTGTACCAGCCTGCAGGTGGCAGTACATACGAGCTGATCGGCTCGAAACAAGTTGCTATTGTTGGTCAGGAAGAGAAACGTGCCTGTACTCTTCTCACTGGGATATCTGCAGGCGGTGATCTTCTCCCCTTCCATATTGTTTACGACGGCAAATCAAAATGGTCCCTTCCATCATCCAATGCACCATCTTACGATGAAGTGCTCGACATGAACTTTCAATTCGTATTCTCAAACACAGACACATACTGGGCCACATTCCAGACCATGTGTACCTACATTATCGGGATCCTAGTACCATTCTGGATGGAGAAGAAACAGCAGTGAGGTGTCCCGCTTGATCAACCATGTATCCTGCAGCTCGATTGCTGGGTTGTTCATCGCTCTATTGCATTTCGCACCTGGCTGGATGCCAACTATGATTGGATCTGTTACCATTTTGTTCCTGCAGGCACAACTGGTGTTGCACAGCCCTGTGATGTTGGCATTCAATGCCCACTCAAGCTGGCTATCAAGGAGCTGCAGCACAGCGACATTGTTTCGGAAACAGTATCTCAACTCACAGCTGGAAAGATCCCAGGCAATATTCAACTTGACGTGACAAAACCAACACTTTGTGATCGTTCTGTCCAATGGTTTGTCGAAGCCTTCAAGCTCATCAATAAGCCTGCCATCATACAACAAGTAAGATCGAATTTCGTCATTTGATTTTGGCCACTAACATGGGGTGCACTGGCAGGCTTTCTCGCTCTGCACAGCTGGGATTGACAGCTCATTCAACCTCTTGTTTGACAGCCTGACAAGTGTTGAAGCACGTTGCACACTTTGCGACTTGCCATGAACAGCTCCAGACATGTGGGAGCACATCCAATCACGTTGTCCAAGTCAACCTGTTACTACTGTAGAGATTCGACACTAGCTTCGTCACGTGCGATGTGTGACAATGTCACACCAAGTGTCACAGGTTCGAATGTCCATGTGACCTGTGACTGCACAAAAAATAGCTTCATGAATTGTGATTGCTGCACCTTGTACTCATCAAGGCTTCTTGTCTGCTTCATGTCGTATTGTAAAGTTGAGAAGAAACAGGTAGAATCTAACTAAACATTGTTTTTTTTCATATGTTTTTCCATATGTTTTTACAACATGTCACAAATTAGCTTCGGCTCCCAAAAATTTGGTGTGACAGTCACACTAAATAGGTTCGATTCGTTGATGGCTGTGACCTGTGATGAACCTAGTGTCATATCTCTACAGTACTAGTCATCAGTAAATTCACACATTTCTTGACCTTCCTTTTTTGCAACTTGCCGCCGGATATTTCCCAAAAAGGAGCGGAAAAGCCATTCATAAGAATGGTGATATCAACTTGCCGTGAACTTGCCACAAGACGATTATAAGTCGAAAAAGCAGGTGCCTCCTCTTGACTTCAACTTTTTCCAACTTTATTTTGACTTTTTTGACAATTATTTTGCACTTACTAGTAGTATTCCTACAATGCAAGTAGCAATACTTATTGTGACTTATTTCACACTTATTTCACACTTATTTCGCACTTGTTGAGATGAAAATGACCACAAAACATTGCATTTCGCCGAGTGATAAGTAGATTAAGTGAAAAAAAGGAGGGAAAGCAATATGAAAGTACTGGTAAGTAGCAAAAAAGAGACCTCAAACATGCATAATAAAGCAAATAGTAACACGACAAGTAGTAGTACATGCCAGTAGCGGCAACAACTCGGCAGAGATGCAGGTGGGTATACTAGTAGTAGTACTGACTCTATAAAACAAAAAGTAGCACCAAAAACCATCAGTCACGAGATGCTAGAAAACAATAAAAAAGAACAGTACCAGATATCGAAGATGAGCGCACGCTCATCCTCAGAATCCTCATCTGGAATGAGGGGCACACCACGCCTCTTTGCAGCGATGTCCTTCGTGCATTCCCAGACGTCTCGGAGGACTGACTCTTTCATGCGGTTGATGGACTTCATGTAACCCCTGGTTGCCATGCCATAGTTGGTGTCTGAGAAGGCCTTTCGAGCATTGCTAGTCTTGCCCAATGCTTTGTTCAAACTGTGGGGGATCTTGACAGCCTTGCCTCTACTGTTGACTTCCAATTCGCTGATGAGCGTGTTATCGAGCCCGATAAGCTTGAGGGCACGTTCCATCTGAAACATGAGAAATATGTTAGTTGTGATACGACGAGAAAGTGAATATACATGCCGCCGCAGTGGCAAGACTAAGAGCGCCCTTTGCATGTGTGATCTTCCTGTGGCTATCAACAGCGCCCAACATAGTGCATCTGTGCTGTACAAGGACCTGTATGAGGAGTTCTGACTGAAAGGGTTGCTTGAGATGACCATCCTCTGTGGCGCTCCTGTACAGGAATCCTAGCCCGGAGAGTAAGTTGTTGGCAAAGTCTTTGCGGTCTTGGTCAGTCTCGATATCAGCCTGCAATGACATGAAGTGTGTGAGTACGGAAACAGCAGTAGATCCGATGCCATTGCACCACTCTGATAGCCGCTGGGTGGCCTAAGAAAAAAAGATCAGATACTATGAATTGCGTCAAAAATCACTTACTAGGGCCATAACAGGTCCATCAGTAGTGACCGTGTGCAGTATATCCTCGTAAACCACATCCCAGGCATCCTGCATAGTGGCGCAGAGAGTTGTCTCTGACTCAAGATGGCCCCAGACTTCATCTTGATCTCCAATGGCAGAAATAAGAGTAGGGATGAACACAGCACTCCACCTAGCCACTGCCTGAGGACCTCCAGGAAGATGTTTGATCCTGTAAGCAGCACGGGGGAGGATCTCCACCTGTGCAACGTTTGTGACACCAGAAGTGATGCTCGAAATGCTGGAAAGACTGTGAGTGTGTGCGATGGAAGGTTTTGCCCGCTTTGCCATGGGACCTTTATGTTTGATGCCAACATTAGTCTACAAAATTCGTAGTCAGTATAATTTAAACATTAATTACTGAAGCATACTACCGTGGAAGTGACCCGCAAGGATACTGGTTCAGATTCGGTCTTGACTATGGGCTTGGTGTGACCCACAAATTCGACTTCAGATGAATCTTCCTCGATCACAAAGGCATGATCGTCCATAAAGTCATCATCGACCATGAGGTCATCCTCAATCCAGTCATCCTCAATCCGGTCATCCTCGATCGCGTCATCAGTCAAGCCATCCTCCATATCTGCGAGCTTGCGCTTGACACTTGTCATTGGAATGGTAGAGTAGGATGTTTGAGTTTGAGTTTGAGCGAGAGCTGCAGCTCGACGGATGTCAGCATCATAATATCCTTTGGGAACCTGTGTAGAAGGAGGAGGTTCGAGATCAGATTCCCTATCAGTGTCAGATGTGTAGTCGACGAGCGAAGTTACTACTGGGGGAGCTGCGTCAGCATTCATTTCATTGTCTTTGTCCGCAATGATGTCAGGCTGAATTGTGTCGTGCTGTTGGGGAATCAGATTGGCATTGCGATAGGCTAAGTTCGTTTGTACTGAAGTATCAGGGACCTTGAAAGAGATGTTGATGCTCTGGTGATGCAGTTAACACATCAAAAAAAAAGAACTAGATAATCAAACTCACCTGAGCAGTCTTTGGTTTGGACATACGGGTAAGGGCTTGAGAACGCTCGTCTGATTCTGCCAAATCGTCGTCTGCAAACAGGGTCGTAAAATGATCTGCCACATTACTAGCCCCAGCATCGGCAATAGTATTGATAGGTGTGAGCGGGGCGCCACTGCTACTGATAGTGGTCCCCCTAGTGAGTTTAGAGGAGGGAGCAGTACTAGAAAAGTCGGAAGGCACAGGAAATGGTCTGATCTTCAAGTCGGAGATTGGCTTTGAACCACTGTCCTCAGGAATATTCGACCTCCAACCGTGGATACACTGGACAGCAAGACCAAAAATTTTGGAACATGGTATGCTATCATTATCATGAACCATTAAATTGAAAAAGAAAAGAACCGTTTCTGTCAGATGGTGTATCATAGTTAAGAAGGAATAATAAATGCCTTACACATCATCAAACTTCTTGTCGTCATCACGTGCCATCGTTGATTCGTCCATCAAGATGTCAACACCCGTGGCTTCGATTGCATCTCTCACTGGTGTCTTCACTGGCAACACTGTCCTCTTGCCCTTCTTTTTGGGTGGCCCCAGCAGTCGCACCTTCCCTTCCTCTTCCTCCTCTGCATCACTCTCAGGATGTTCAATGTCACCGGCTGCTAATTTACCTCCAGCCCTACCGCCCTTGCCATTAGCGCTAACAGCTCCATCCTTGGCCACAGTCAAGTTCGAGGTCTCTGCAGCTTTGACAGCCTTTTTGACGGGGCGTGGGCAGGGATGAGCAGGCTTTGGTGCATCAGCGCGCATAGCAGCTTGGTCTGTCTGCATTTTTTTCTGAAATGCAGTGTCTGGTATAGGGACCCCCGTGCGATGGTGCACAACATACTTGCCAACCCTACCTACCAGGACAAAATAGACTATGTGCCATTTCGTGAACATGGCTCATCGGATGACATGCGCCGATGGAAAGACTTCATGTCAGGAGACTGGGCATGGCAACAGGCAGTATGTCTTCCCTCTCTTTTTGGTATCACTCGGGATTTAGCTAATATTCCATCAAGGACACCATATCGAAAGACCCAGAAACACACGGATCTGCTTTGGTCCCCATCATTCTCGGTAGTGACAAGACTACTGTCTCTGTGGGCACTGGTAACAACAAATACTATCCCCTCTATGCCTCGATCGGTAATGTACGCAACAATGTGCAGCATGCACACCGTGATGCTCTTGTCATCATCAGTTTTCTCGCCATACCCAAAAGTACGTATATTCATGTTTTAAATTTTATTATACCTCAACTGAGCATGTTACAGCTGACAAGGAACATTCTAAAGATGTCATATTTCAGATATTTCGCCACCAGCTATTCCACAGCTCACTATCCACGATTCTCTCCAGCCTAAAACCTGTTATGACCCAGTATGAGGTTGTGCGTTGTGGAGATGGTCATTTCCGGTGTGTTATATATAGTCTAGGACCCTACATAGCGGATTACGAGGAACAACTCGTGCTATCCTGTGTTGTCAAACATTGGTGCCCGAAGTGAGTATTGGCACTTGGAGTCAGTATCATGCTGACAACTCATGTAGATGTATTGGAGTTCACACAAACCTTGATGGTGGTGGCGTGTACCGCTGTCACGAGCATACTGATTTCTTGATAAAAGAGCTACACGTGGATATATTGTGGGATGAATATGGTCTCATTTGTGATCTCGTCGTGAGTGGAACAGGCCATTTTTCAATACCAGACTAATCTGTTTTGTGTAGCCATTCACTAATGACTTCCCCCGAGCTGACATTCATGAGTTGCTGTCGTTTGACCTCCTCCACCAGCTAATTAAGGGTGCTTTCAAAGACCATCTCGTCGACTGGGTAGCGAAGTACCTCAAGGCCGTGCATGGGACCAAACGATCAGAGGAGATCATGAGTGACATAGATCGTAGGTATGTCATCTCACTTGTTTACTCAATGACGTTCTCTAACAATAAGTCAGAGTCGCTGCTGTAGCATCATTCTCTGGTCTACAATGATTTCCTCAAGGCCATGACTTTAAACAGTGGACGGGCGATGATTCCAAAGCGCTCATGAAGGTATTTCTTCCAGCTATCCAAGGCCACGTACCTCAAGACATGGTGCACGTGTTTCGCACATTGTTGGAATTCTGCTATCTTGTCTGGTGCAACGTCGTTACCGAAGATACCTTGAGTCAAATTCAAGACGCTCTTCATCGTTTTCACCATTACCGCAAGATATTTGATATTGTTGTTCCCACCTTCTCACTCCCCCGCCAGCACTCAATGACTCATTATGTGGACATGATCTGACTCTTCGGCGCCCCTAATGGACTGTGCTCATCAATTACAGAATCAAAGCACATCAAGGCGGTAAAGGAGCCTTGGCGGTGGTCGAGCAGGCACAATGCTCTTGGTCAGATGCTTGTGACCAATCAGCGCCTTGATAAGCTCGCAGCATCTTATGTGGACTTTGAGGCGCGAGGGATGCTCACTGGCACTATCTTATCAAGTACTTTAGCTACTCTCGGTAAGTTTGTTTAAGGTTTTTCTCTAATCCTCTTCTCACATACTCAACAACAATATATAACGGCAGATGAAAACGAACAAGTCGTCCCTGCTATTGCACCACAACCAGATACCCCCGTTGTTGAACCGCAACCAGTGATCGATGCTGACAACGGTGAAATAGTTGACGATCTAGGGGTGCTTGCTCATATAGCACTCGCCAAAACTCCTCATAAGTAATCTCATGCAATGTCTAATCTCAATACACACCACTGTATCACACAGAACGACACCGGGCACAGACAGTAGCAGCATTGGCACAGGAAGTCGATGTCCAAGATCTATGATGCCTCATTTGGTACTTTCTGTTCTCTCAGCTGAACCCGGATGATGTCCACAACCCTGAAGATATCCCAACTACTAGCTTGCCTCGACATGAAGGCAAGCTTATGGTCTTCAACTCTGCTGCCGCAACGTTTTATGCTCCCAGTGATCCGAGTGGCATTGGTGGCATGTGATGTGAACACATCCATGCATGTCCACTCTGGCGGAATCAGTACCTGCGCAATGATTGCGTGTTCATCAACACAGATTCAGATGCTGAAGGGATGCGAGGACTCGAAGTTGCGAGAGTCGTATGTTTCTTTTCTTTTCAACACAGCTCTGGAGGAGTGTATCCATGCGCTCTCATACAATGGTTCGAGAAGATCGGTGATTGTCCCGACGAAAATACTGGCATGTGGATGGTCACTCCAAGTTTTCATGAGGATGGCTCGAGGAACCTTGCTGTTATTCATATTGATACCATCTTCTGTGCAGCACACCTGATACCTATCTACGGTTCTGAGTACATTCCTCACTCCCTCAAGTTTTATCATTCTCTTGATACTTTCCGCTCATTCTATGTCAATAAATATGCTGATCACCACGCCTTCGAGACAGCATCCTGACTGCCATGCATGACATAGGTGGGTCCTCATTCCAATTCTCAGTCCACTGCTAATGGTCAGGTCCCAGGACATCACATGGAAAACACCCAGTCGAAACTTGCACAGACGATGGTTCAGTACTCACCTTAGTTCCGTCTCGATCCTTGTACCAGAGCCTCCCCTTGAGTCTTTTCCAGAACCCCAGTGAAGCGTCCGTGCCCTCCACATTCGCCTCCACATCCTCCGCGTCTCATTCAGCTTTGACCGCTGCATCAGCCCTGAGCGCTACATCAGTCCACTGGCGCCTCCTCACACGGCATCCGCAATAACTTGTTTTTGAAGGTATGAACTCAACTAGCGTCTTGTTAATCAATTATAGACGCAATGAACACTTATAATACTTACTACACTTTTTGTACTTGGAGTATTTGAACTTACTTTTACCAGCTTATTTGTGCTTTTTCGTACTTGTTTGTTTTGCGCTGCTTTTCGACTTGCCAACACAACACATCAAGTAAATAAAGGTAAATAAGTTGTAAATAAGTTTTAACTTTCGAAAAAAAGCAGTGTTAAGAAATATGTGAATTTACTGATGCTAGTAGCGAAGACGCTGCTGCTACTGTCTCTGTGCCTGAGGATACTGTCAACGACAAAGAGGAACCAGGTGACGATGCTCCATTGGAGCTTCTCCTGCAGTTTGTAGCATCAGGAAAGAAGCATGCACCTGATGGGTACAGAATTGATTTGGACGGGTCACTGATTGTTCACACTGCCGCTGATTGTTTTGAGGAAGTTCCTGCCAATGGGGAACCCGTTCCATTGGGAAGGGGCAAGCGCAGACGTGTCACGAACAAACAATATGGTGCATTTGAGGAGCATTAGTATGTACTAGTACAGTAACATGTCTTGAAATCGCATGAATACAAAGTGTCACACATTTAGGTTCGTCAGCTGAATTTGCGTGTGACTGTCACAAAAAATAGGTTAGGTTCGTCGGGCTTGCAACAGTGTGATGAACCTAAGGTCAAAATTATACAGTATATCTACTTGTAGGGCAGTTGATCTTTCACCCCCGAATACATCTTAGTTTGGACAGTTATCTCGTTCGAGCCTCTAAGTCTATTCAACCCTATTGACTCTACCGTGTGAACGTTCCAAGAACACCACAACATAGTTTCAGTGATGAATTTTAGCTATTGAAGGGCTATCCAGTACAGCATCAGAACTGGACATGCTGCATCAATTTTGTAACCTTTGACAGTTTATTTTCCTGGACACGTTGTAACTGTGATCAAGACCATACTATGTAAATATTGCAAGTATATTGTAACTCTTGACAATGTATCTCCATAGACACACCATTGTGGTGAGCAATGACGATACTGCATAAATATTACAATGATGCCATAGCCAATTGCATCCAATCCCAAATGGTCAACGGGAAGCCAGACTCATAGTACAACGATAGACCATGATTTTGGAGAGATGCGAGACTTCCTTTAAATATTTATCTACAGTCTATAACAGGCACTTGAGCCACCACCATCACTTGAACCAAACACCCATAGCACAACACTCGCACAATATTTGACCAAAGTGTATGCTAACATTTTGTTGTCTCGTAGTCATCTTCTATATATGATCCTGCCTGGCCTAATTATATTTCACAATCTTGTGCTGTGTGTTGAAATGTGCCAGAAATCTCACTATTTCAATGCTACAAGACCATATTGAATTATTCTTGTCAACAAAATTTGTGAAATCAATGGACACAACATCTGCCAACAACTTCATCGAATAGAAAGTGTGAATACTGTGTATGGCCATCTGCCAGTGCGATGCCGGTGGAAGGTTGTGAAATGTGCACTATCATTTCTAGTGCTGCCGTGGTCCGGTCCAGAACCACGGTTCGAACCGGACTTTTGGTCCGGTTCTCTGTGGTTCGGTCCGTGGTTCTCTCACCAGCCAGAACCGGACCGAAAATCGGTTCTCGGTTCTAGGTCATCCCGGAACGGTTCCGTTCTGGTTTGGGACACCCGAACCGTTCCGAACCGTTCCGAACCGTCGACTTTGCCATCATTTACTTCGACGTCGTCGTCATCTGATCGATCGATCTTTGGGATTTGCACTACCTTCGACTTCGACCAGGATTTGTATTATCAGGCTGCCTTTAGCCTTTTTCAAGGTGAGTACTAACTAATTCGTCTCTGAAGCGTCTAATCAACTGACATATGTTTAGCTACATCTCCCTAGGCCGCTATGATCCTCCACAAGCTTTTTGCTGTGACTGATCTCCTAGGAGACCAGTATTCTGTGGTGCGCAGATGTCTTCTCCCTGCCCTGTGTACAAAACAAGGTCGTGACGACGAAACTGTGAGTTGTCTCCCTGAAAATGTCAGACTCCTGCGCTCTCAATACTGATGGCACCCTCAAGGATGCATCCAAGATCACGTTCTACAACGATCCTGACGACGATGTGCCCTTGCCACCAGTCCCATCAAACGACCCTGACGACAATGTGCCCTCAACGGAACCCAAGAAAAATGCCTTCTCAGTTCTACTCAAGACCGGACATACGCCAGCAACCGTCACTGCAGGCTCTCGGCACTCTGGCCGCCCTTCCAAGCCCTCAGCTCGTATCCGTGATGCTGACAATGTTGCTTCATCCTCAGGCACAAGGAAGCGTGCACGCGCATCATCTAGTGCTACAGAGCACCCAGTGTCTAAAAAAGTTGCTATGCGATTCATATCACCTTTGGACTCTGATGACGAAGATACGGCTGATGAAGATCTCCCTTCGGCTGCTCCTGATCCAGGAGAATCATCCTCTGATGAGCTGATCCCCCAGCTTGATGATGATGATGACGAGGCTGAGAGTCAAACTGCGAGTCAAACTGTACGTCGTATCTTCATCATTGTCTTCCTTCACTGACACTTGCATTTAGGTCTCAAAAAGCAATCGTACAGCAGACATCCGGACTATATTCACTCGTATCCCTGAGGGATGGGTCTGTACGCTGTGCAAGTAAGTTTTTATTTGTTTTTAATTTAAATTCAATTTTGATTTTGGATAAGGGACACCGGTGAACCAGCACACAAGCATATGTTTCGCGGAGGCACCTCAACACTACGAACGCACATTGTCTTTATTTATTTCAATATCTCTAATGCCTTGTTTTTTTCAGGCCGTCAACCGTTTTACTCTCCTTGCTGACGAGAGTCACAAAGTCCTGACGCTGCGCAACAAATCTTACAGCGACTTCAAACTCGATCGAGCCGACTGGAAAAAGATCCGACTGGTTCATAATGTCCTCAAGGTATTTTTGATTTGTTTATTCATTCATTTATTTACTTACAGCTATAATAACTACAGGAGCCTGCGACTGTGCAACAGTCGTTCTCCTCGGCGACACATCCCACAGCCTGGCTCACGATACCCACACTCGAATGTCTTGCCGATACATGGCAGACGATGGCAAATGATCCCGCATACGCATCGATTGCTGACGCAATCCAGAGTGGCCTCAAGAATGTGGAGAAATACTATGAGAAGACCAGCAACTCAGATGTGTATTTCATCTGTCTGGGTGAGTAGTGTTTTTTTTCTTGAGTGCCGTTTCTAATGTACCTACAGTTCTGGACCCTAACTTCAAGTTGGCATACGTAGAGACCCGCTGGACTGATGAAAAGGTTGCGAGAGGGAGAGCTCGTTTTGAAGCCGTGGTAAGTCTTATTTTTTCAATGTATTCTACCAGCGGCTGATAATTATGTACATTGTAGTTCGATAAGTATCACAAGGCTCCCCCGCTGCCATCTACCACAGAACAAGCCAGTGTGCCGCCGAAAGCACCAGTACTGCAAGCTGTTCGGTATGGCCAGTCCTGGATGCGTGATGCTGTCATGGCACGTCAAGCCGCAGAACTTCGCATGCGCGATTCCCATCACGAACTCACCTCGTATCTTACTTCGCCGTTAGAAGAGACAGGTGATGTCGTCGCATGGTGGGGGGTAAGTTGTTTTTTTATTCACACATTCTCAACTGACATTATTCATTAGCTACACTCGCTACAGTATCCGACACTCTCTCGTATTGCCCGCGATTATCTACCGATTCAAGGTAGTGCGGTTCCCTCTGAACGTGCTTTCTCTAGCGGGGGAATCACATCAACCTTGCGCCGCAATGCGCTCGCATCATCCACCTTCTCTGCTCTACAGCTAATGAAGGCTGCTTACTGTAATGGACATCTTTCGGCAGCTACAGAGGCAGAGGGGTACGCGCAAATTTTATTAGACTAGTTACTCAATGTGTAGCTAGTATTTCGTCAATTATTTTTTGCTGTACCTATAGAAAAATTTACGGTTCGGTTCGAGTTCGGACCACAAAAAAAACCGAACCGGACCATTGAGAACGGTTCTCAATGGTCCGGTTCTGGGTTCGACGATTTCGCCGAACCGAACCGTTGGTCCGGTTCTCGGTTCTTGTTGAAGACCCTCTGAACCGGACTGAACCGAACCATGGCAGCACTAATTATTTCATCTATGACACATGATAAGCCATATATGGTTTGTACGCTATTAAGACTGGAAATGGTGTCCGACGTGCTGCTCACCCACTCTCCCCCAAAAGATGTGTTCCCATATTCTCAGACCAAGAAAAAGCAACTTGCCAGCCAGGAAAAAGAGAAAGCAATCACTGCTGCTGTCGAAACATATAAAATTGAGTGAATAGTTTGGTCATTGTTAACGTTACCGATTGTAAAGATAATGTCCGACTTACTTTTTTGGGACTGGCTCAAGTGGGCGTGCAACAGTGATACAGACAAAAAACACTGATGCATTCGAATTTCGCAGCATATTCAGACATTGATTGATGGACTCAAAATTTTATTTTATATATTTATGAACATACCTTATAAGTTTGTACCAGACAGATTTATATAATACCTCTTTGTTGTGCAACAGGAGGCCAACGAAGTTTTGTTGGCTCAAGTGCCTGTTATAGACTGTACCGAGTATCACAGTTGCGAGACATACACATCTTCATCAAAATCGGAGTTTTCTTATAATCTGTTATATTACTTTGTCTTTGGGTATAATCTGTGTATATTCGATTTGATTTTACCAAAATCATCAATCAAAATCATCTCCAGCCCGATTCCGTGATGGACGCGTGTTATGATTCCTTACAAACAATGACTACCAAGCGACTTTCCACGGAACACCACATACCAGTAGCATGCGCCATTATCGACACAGCATGCCTGAACGTTAAAGACTTGAGTCGTGTGTTGGATGATGATTGGGAGTGGCATCTGCCGGGAGTAGAGTCATCGAGGAAGCGAGGGGAGCGAATATCTGAGGCATGCTGACGAGTGAGTGATTTCCACTACGATAATGACAACAAGTAATAAGATTTAGCATAAGATACTCAAGTGCACCTCTGAAAGGTGCTTGAGAAGTTGGAAGCACCGGTCCATTTCCTCCTCAGCCACGTCGAACGTCTTCCGCATATCATGTCCAGGACTAAAAGCAGTCACACCCCAACGACCCAATAACAAAAATTTGAATACCACGACGAAACAACACAAACGAATTCTCTTGCACTCTTCAGGCTAATGTCCGGCAAGTGTAAATCATATCAAACATCTCCCATGCTACGCACGCTCCTGGAAAGCAATTGAAGTCATAGCGGTTGCTGGATCGGAGTCCAGTTTAGCGTTATATTCTCGAATGCTGAACGCTATTGGATAAGGCGTGGTCCTAGCACAGACAGCTGCGCCAATTTGAAAATTCAAGGGAAACCCAGATAGATCTCAACGTCCAAGGGGAATAAAATTGATTGGACGTACAGGATCAGCATTATCATTCTCGGGTCGATTACCTGATGTCTATGGCACGTGAGACGCACGCGGGTGGATAAGATCGTTGTGGACTTGGCAGGCCCCTATTATTTGCTCTTACAACAATGACTTCCAAGTCCGAAGCCTTCGATGTCAGCGTGACCGTCCCTTGCAACTCTCTGGCACCCCCCTCGTACAATGCAATTTCTACGTCAACCGTATCGGCAGATTCCATCTGGTCCAAGCTATGTCGCTGGGTATTTCCCCGAGCCTTTTCACAATCCAAGCAAGAATGCCTATCATACATCCGTGCAACTGTCTCCTCTCCCGATTACAGTCCTTCCTTCGTCGCTCAAACTGCCAGCGCCTGTGTTGCCACTCTCCCAGCAGCAGAGTTCTCCAAACTCTTGCAACAACCCAATATCGAGGATCACACGGCGCCGTATTGGGCGATCGTGAACAACTGCCTAGAAGCCCTGTGGGCGTTTATGGACTTCATTCCCGATCCATCGCCTGATTGCTATTCTGATTTGCGTCTTGCGTGCATGATGGTTGGCGACAACACATTGTTCACGCAGCTGGAATTGAACGAAATAGTTAGCTGTGAGTGCATGGTACTCGATGCCCCTAGAGAGGATTAGTTGATCATGCACTATCAGCCAAGGATGACTCCTTGAGACAGTTTTTGGGATGCCCTCCAGACGAGGTTCAGATACAAGAGAGCAGTGGTCGCTTCGTTGCTTCTTTCTGTTTCAGGATGTTCCAGAAACGCCTTCGTACTGCACATGTAATTGCCATAGAATATCTTGCCAGGGGTATGTGGTCGATATTACTTCTCTTCCAAGTACTGATAGGAACGTCCTATTCACTGCATGCAGGCCGTATATGGACGTTGTGGTTTTATTTGTGTGATGGAAAGTGGGTTGTTGATTGTCGACTTGAAGAGCCCAGTTTGCCAGTAGAAGGAAGCAATCAACTTCGGATAGAGGCCCACAGAAAGTCGCCTGACTGTGCAACCCCGGAACCTCTAATCATTACCACAGAATTTTCATTGGCACCTGAGTAGGTTTATTGCTCCCGCTATCAACTCGAGGCACTCATTTTTCCTATGTGACTAACCATTGCTCCCTTGTTCACTTGCTATTTTGTAGATCCATTGACATCCATCAACTAATATATCACCGCTTGAGTGATTGGCCTATGGACGAGTAAGTTTTCTTCCTCAGTTTGATCTGTATTGCGGGCTGGACTGGACCTGACCGTGTTGCTTTAGTGATACTGTATATGTAGACTGCGAAGGCACTTTACATATGTCGCTGACGATGACAGTGAAATAGCGCTTGGATCCTGGAATAGATAAATGCAGGCCAGAAACGAACACATCATGTACATGTAAGATGTCAGATCGCTATCGAATGACTTTCTAAATGTCGAAGAGGCACTGTTTGATTCGCTGTCTACCTGGGGCACATGCAGTGCTTTATTCAATCGGGGCAAATCCAGATGGGCCACCATGTCCATTGGATGGACTGATTTTTCGGCTTCATCACAGCCATGCAAGCCAGTGCGTGATCAAGAGTGTCCTGCATCTTGTACAAATTTTCTACTTGTCAGACCAATGCCTGCTACTTTGATGAACAAGCTTTTTGGTTTGATGATATAAATTTTCCACTTGACCGCTCAAGAGCACTGTCACAGCTGTTGAACATCGTTTATCGTTTAGCGTGCCTTGTTTCTTCTCAACGTCTCTAATCCTGCAGACTCTTATTCTTTGCCATCGTGGCATGTTGCGAGTATTCGTTTGGCAGGGCAAATTTGGGGGATGTACAAGCGTATGACGAATCCAGTGGTCAGAAAGGCTGAGCTTCTTGAGAGGAGTTAACAGGAGCGGATAGAATCTAACAGGTATGAAGTCTCAGTATCTGGGAACAGAACTCTGCATTGACGAAGCGTGTACCTAACAGGTATGAACTACGAAACGTTAGCTTTTGTATGTCGAAAGGTAAAGTATTTTAACTCACGTCTCAGTATCTGGGAACAGAACTGAGGCGCTCGTTTGGCTCTGCTATAGGTTTTATACGGTAAGTGTTCCTAAGCGTTATATTGAAGTAAAACATTGATACTTGGTAGTTTTCGGCCCCGACGTCACTTCTGTCATTGTCGTGCCTCTCTCTCCTTGCGCTCGGACATTCTATTCATCATCCTGCCCCTTTGCTTCGGTCTCATCGGCCTTGTTCGACTCTGAGGCTTCGGACGTCGACACTCCCCCTCGAGCGCAAGCTAGTCCCATCAGGGCCCTTAGCTTTTGCAAACGGGGGCGTGGCACGGCCTCGGTAAACGCATCGGCCACGTTGTCGTCAGTGGGGCAATAGAGAATCTTGAAGGTCCCGTCCTTCACGTATGAGCATACGAAGTGGTAACGCAAGTCGATATGCTTGGTACGTGACTGGAACTTCCTGTTTGACGCTAACACGATGGCGGCCTGATTATCGCAGAATATCGGAATGGGGAGAGTGGGGGGGTCGTAGAGTTCGGTGAGGAGGAGTTTTAGGTACAGAAGCTCCCGGACGACGCTAGTAAGTGCTATATACTCCGCTTCGGCTGTGGATAGCGCGATTAACGGTTGTTTTCGGGCACTCCAGGCGACTGGGCCTCCATTCAACATTACGATGTAACCGGACATGGAGTGCCTATGCGGTTGGGACGCCCAATCCGCATCGACGAACGCCTCCAGGCCGGCATCGTTGGAACCTAAGGTAAGTTCAAATGCATCAGTGGCCTTCAGATAACGTAGCGCGCGTTTAGCTGCCTCCCAATGCGCCCTGCCGGGACTGCGCATGAACTGCGACAATGTCGTGACAGCAAAGGCTATGTCCGGGCGGGTGCTGGTGGCCGCGTACATCAATGATCTGATAGCACGTTGATACGGTACGTCCTTCATGGCCTCGACTTCTGAGTGCGTGGATGGGGATTGATCTGTGGATAGTGTGATGGCCGGCTCCATGGGCGTTTGGACTGATTTCGCCTCGTCCAGGCGAAAATGTTCGACTATGGTGGCCACATAGGCCTTCTGGGACAATGTCAAGGTGCGTGATACTCTGTCCCGCGTTACCTTCAATCCCAGGAGCCAACTTAGTTCCCCCAAGTCCGAAATCTCGAAGTACTGTTGGAGCTGGTCTTTGAACCGGCGGATGTGAGAGAGGTGGTTCGCAGTCACGGCCATGTCATCGACGGAGACCGTTATGACCATCTTTTCATCGGAGGTGCGTTTGAAATAGACCGCTTGATCAACTCCTGACCTGTTGAATCCTAGCTTCGCAAACACTCCCGCCAACTCTTCCGCCCACTCGAATCCTGCCTGCTTAAGTCCCGGTAAGCTCCTCTTTAACCTCAACACCTTTCCACGCTGATCCTCCCTTAGGTACCCCGGTGGCGCCCTCATATAGATTTCCTCTTGGATGCTTGCATACAGGTACGCGCTCTTGATGTCGACTTGGTGGATTTCCCAGTCTTGCTGAGCCGCCATCGTCAGGACTGTCCGGATCGTGCTCATATTGGCAGTGGGGGTGAACGTGTCGAAATAGTCGACCCCAAACTTCTGTCTCTGGCCGTTTGCAACGAGGCGTGCCCGGAGCTTCAACTTTTCTCCGTCGGGTCCACGTTTGGTCGCCAAGACGTAATGGGAAGGTATGATGTTGGCGCCTCGAGGTGGGTCAACAACTTCCCACGTACCTAACTTCTCGAGCTGACTTATTTCATAATCTAGCGCTTCTTGCCACTCCACTCCATCAGGACCGTTTAAAGCTTGTTGCAGGCTGGGTTCCAGCTCTGCAGCAGCCAAAGCAAGGTGAATGTGCGCCTGTTCATCCAGGAGGTCTAACGCTGACGCCTCCATTAGGGAATCTAAGGCTAGGGACGCGGTCTCCCCCTCATTGAGGGCCGCATAATATCCTGGAGGTGGTCTGGTGCGGGTGGACCTTGGAGCTGGAGGTGGGGTCGATGGACGTGGAGTTTGGATTCTGGCTGGGGTAGCAGGTGGCGGGATAGGCTGAACGACAGGTGAGTTATTACTGTTGCTACTATTATATTTGTCGTGCCGCATGACGATGGACTCCCCCTCGTTCAGGGGATCCCTGGCCACTGTCACCTCATTAGGCGCAAAGGTGACATTGCGCTCGACGGAAACACGGCTCTTACCCGGCCAATATACCCGGTAGGCTTTGCTCTGGGTGTCCATCCCCACAAAAACTGCCTCCTCCGCCTTGGCCTCCAACTTCCCAGCGCCCTCAAGGTGCACGAAGATCCTGGCTCCGAATTCCCTAGCCTGGGAGAGGTTGGGCTTGGTCTTTGTGACCAGCTCAAACGGAGTCGCACCTGGAGTCGCCCTAGACGGTAGGCGATTCTTTAGCCAGGTGGCGTAATTGATGGCCTCTGCCCATAGGTACTTGGGGAGGTCCTTCGCCAGCAACATGGCCCTGGCGTGCTCGACGAGAGTGCGGTTTAGCCTCTCGGCTACTCCGTTTTGCTGTGGTGAGTCGTGAGTCGTCAGTTGTCGCTCAATGCCACGCTGACTCAAATACTCGTCGAACTCCGCACTTAGATACTCTCCCCCACGATCTGACCGGACCCTGCAGAGCTGGACGCCTGGAGTTTGGCGTGTGAGCCAGGCCTCATAGGCCTTGAAGGCGGTGAGTGCTTCGCTCTTTAGCTTCAAGAACTGGATCTTCGTCTGACGCGTGAAATCATCTGTGAAGGTGATATAGTATCGGCATCCGCCCAAGCTGGCAGTCTGTGCGGGGCCCCATAGGTCCGTATGGACTAGCTCTCCATAGGTGCATGCCCGGCTATGACTTTCGTTCGGGAAGGGTTTCCTCGCTGACTTGGCTTTGACGCACGTGTCGCAGAACTCCGGCTTGGAGTCACTGTCCAGCGTGACGCCCACGACGAGACCTTTTGTTACGGCCTCGAGCACTGCAGGCTGGGAGACGTGCCCCAGCACCTGGTGCAACTCACTCACAGTAAGTTTTCCTTTGGCAACGTTTGCATGGTGCTGACCTGATCTTCCCGCTGCTATGCTATAGAGACCCTCCACCTGCGGAATTTCCGCGATGACTCGACGTTTTGGGCCCTGGGACAAGACTTTGCACATGCGCCCTTCAAAAAGGACGGCCATGCCGGCCGCTGCAATGCGATTCGTGGAGATTAGGGTGAACGCCATGGCCGGTGCGTACAACGCGTTCTTCAGCGTCACTTTCGTGCGCTTCTCACCAAGTGGCAGTTCTAGCTCGACGTCTCCTCGACCTACGGCGCTCAGACTTGAGCCATCCGCCGTGTGGATGTCCTGGGGGGATATGGGGGTGAAGTTGGAGAATTTTGCCCGGTCTGGGCAGAAGTGAGAGGTGGCCCCAGAGTCTACGATGGCACCTCGTCGGTCGAGGGGCACCCTGAGGTCCCTGGCTATGCTTGCCAAGTCGGACGATACGAATGCGTATTGGTCCTGGGACCCGGACTCTGCGGCTGAGTTTGCCGTCTCTTTGGGACCCTTCTCACCCTTACGCCGTTGCTGATTCGGGCCTTGGCCCTCTTTTCCCCCTCCAGGCCTCCAACAGTCGGTCTTATAGTGACCTTTGCGTTCGCAATTATAGCAGGTAACGTCTGCATTCGTTTTGCTCGACGTAGCTGACCTTTTGCCCTTGTCTCTAGGCTCCCTTGCGCTGAGCGCAGTACCTGCGCTCCCCCTTTTATTGGGGCGCTTCTCGGTAAGCTGACGGTGTTCGTATTCTTCTGTAACGATGCTGATTAGTTCGTAGGAAGACAATGGCGTCTTTGTGATTTTGGCTGCCGCGTTAATGGACGAGAGTAGCGGGCGATAGGACTCTGGTAGGGAACCGAGGATGATAGCATGGAAATCCGTGTCGAGGATCCCAGCTCCCATTCCTGCAAGTAGCTCGCGCAGATGTAGGAGCTCCGCGAAGTGAGCTTTGACGTCTCCTCCCTCGTCGCATCTCGTCTCCTGCAAACGCCGACGCAAATCTATCTGGACGAGCTCAGTCTTGCCTTCGTGGATCTGGCAGATTTCTTCCCAGACCTCCGAGGCAGTCTCGAACTTCTGGACGCGCAGCAACAGTTGATCTGTAATCGTACTGAAGATTTGCTGTTTAATGAGTGAGTTCTTTTGGTCATATTCATCCATTTTCTTTTCGCGCTCATCGATCTCCTTCTGAGTAGGAATCGAACCGTCCGGCTTTTCCGGCACCCCCGATACCTTTCCAATGAGGTAGGGTAACGGCTCGACGGCACGACCATCTGCATATCGCATCAAACCTCGGGCACTTATCGCTGTCAACGTTCTCTCCTTGTAGGTAATCCAATTCGTGCCATCTTCGGCAAGTTTTGGGACGTTGAACAACGAGGACGTAGTGCCGGGGAGCGTATTATCGGTGGTCATGTCAGGGCTCATAACCTCTTGAGAGGAGTTAACGGGAGCGGATAGAATCTAACAGGTATGAAGTCTCAGTATCTGGGAACAGAACTCTGCATTGACGAAGCGTGTACCTAACAGGTATGAACTACGAAACGTTAGCTTTTGTATATGTCGAAAGGTAAAGTATTTTAACTCACGTCTCAGTATCTGGGAACAGAACTGAGGCGCTCGTTTGGCTCTGCTATAGGTTTTATACGGTAAGTGTTCCTAAGCGTTATATTGAAGTAAAACATTGATACTTGGTAGTTTTCGGCCCCGACGTCACTTCTGTCATCGTCGTGCCTCTCTCTCCTTGCGCTCGGACATTCTATTCATCATCCTGCCCCTTTGCTTCGGTCTCATCGGCCTTGTTCGACTCTGAGGCTTCGGACGTCGACAGAGCTTGTGTTTGATTGACCTAGACGTTTGCGACATTTGCAGTCATATTCATGATTGGTATGATAGTATATTTCAAAGACCTTCGGACGAGGCACTTCCGAGTCTATATGTAGTACCTGAGTTACATCAGTAGCGTAGTCAGCCAATTTAATGTAACATCGTTTATCGTTTACTGCCACAAACAATGAAGTACGTCGCACTCCTTAGTGGAGGGAAAGACAGCTGTTACAACTTGTCCCACTGCAACGCCAATGGTCACCAACTTGTAGCTGCAGCGACACTCTCTCCGCAATCAGGAAAAGGTCTGACTTTATTTTTCTTTCACGAAAGCGCCTCATCTCCATAGATGAGATCGACTCGTATATGTACCAGACAGTAGGCCAAGACGCGATCGAATTTGTAGCTCGCGCTCTCGAGGTTCCGCTCTATCGACACGTCATACAAGGTGATGCTATCGAGCAAAATGCAGAGTATGGTTCGCGTAGTGCTGGGGGAGCTGGCGTGTTAGGAGATGAAACGGAGGATCTCTATACTCTATTAAAGCGTGTCAAGGTCAGATCTAACTCTCGCCAACTTATCTCACCCTGGTCTCATAGTAAACCAGGTTCACCACCCGGATGTGCAAGGTGTCTCAGTCGGCGCTATTCTCTCAAATTACCAACGCGTTCGCGTCGAACATGTGTGCGTATTGGCCACGTATAATTCAGTTTGTAATGTTCACGCTCAACAGGTGTCGTCGTCTTTCCCTCACGCCCTTAGCATACCTCTGGCAGCGCGATCAAGCCGAATTGCTGTCCGAGATGATTGCAGCCGGAGTTAAAAGCGTGCTCATAAAAGTAGCAGGCATCGGTCTGACAGTGAAACACCTAGGAACAACATTAAACGAAATGCAGGACACCCTCACGCGATTGGTGCGTCCATTGCTTCTACACAAACAAAATGATTCATTTTGTCGCAGAACAACCTTTATGGTTTGCATATCTGTGGTGAAGGCGGAGAATATGAAACTCTCACTCTTGACAGCCCGTCGTTCAAACATCGTATTGTGCTGAATGGAACAGAAGTCGTGATGCATACAGACAATGATTTTGCGCCTGTTGCATATTTGCGTATTAAACAAGCTTCGCTTCATCCCAAGGAGTCATCTACAGATGGCAAGGTCGAAGTTCCGCCACTCTTGGATGATAGATTCGGTGAATTGAAGAACGTGGTCGAAACTTCAGTCCTAGAGCAATACGAAAAGGGTTCTAGCGGGACATATGAACCGACCAACAAACTACACCACATCCCAGACCATCCATCAACACACGCTATCGGATCATGGCTCGCGATCGGAAACATCCACCCAGACTCGTCTCTAGACTCAGAAATACCCCTAGAAGAACAAGTCCGCGACTGCTTTATTCAATTACAAGGTATCAATCTACCATTTGCATCATTTTCATATCCAGTCCCAATCGGCCTACAGGAATTCTTCAATCGCACGATCTGCGCATAGAAGATGTAGCTAATATCACGCTCTTACTGCCTTCCCTTGCTCCCAAGATATTCGCAGCTGCAAACAAGGCATACGCCGAGTTCTTTGGTGTCTCACCTCCTTCGAGAGCTTGTGTGGGTGTGGATCTTCCCGAGGGGGTGGGTGTGATTCTTGAATGCGTCGCGCGCAAGGATAACACAAGGAGAGCGCTCCATGTACAGAGTTTGAGCTACTGGGCGCCTGCTAATATTGGTCCTTATTCACAAGCTGTCACCGTGTGTCCAGTCTTTTGCGACGTGAGAGGCCTTTCTAATATCTAGATCAGGTGGAGCCGTATGTTTTCGTATCCGGCCAGATCGGTCTACTCCCTGCGTCTTTAACGCTCCCTTCTCCATCTTCGTTGGCACTTGAAACTGCGTTGGTGTTCCAGCACACGGATCGCGTCATTCGCGCCGCCAACACTGCAGGGGGTCATGTGCTGCTTTCGCTTTATTGGCTTGTTGACTATGCTAATACCATACACACTCGACGGGCTTGTGAAACGTTTTGCGAGGTGAGCCAAGAGATTAAAAACTTGCAATCAAGATTGATATTAATATTAATTTTGTAGGAAACCCCAACGTTGTTCTTGGTAGTCGCGTCCCTCCCGCGCGGTGCACGCGTCGAGAAACAAGTATTGGTGCATACAGGCAAATTCACGATCCTAGACGAAGACACGTTCATACAAGTATCTCACACTCCGGAGTTTGTGTCTGGTAGGTGCATGCCTATTTGCATCGTCCTAATGTACTCACGTATTTCCAGGGGATATCCATGCCGAACGCACCCAGATATTGCGCACTGCAGAGTTCCTATCTGGTGTGTAGGACAAGTAGGAATTGGCCTCCTGTGCTCACGCATTTTCAGGGGATGTCGATCCCGAGTGCGGCACGAAAGTGTCGAGCGAAGTGATCCTCAGTTCGACCAGGCCGCCCATATTGAACTGGCAAGTTTCTCGATTTGACGTGTCGGAGACCTCGCCGCAGTGCGTGGTTATCTGCGCTCGTGGACATCCATCGCGGGAGGATGCAATCGAACTGGAAAAAATACCGTTGCTCGTTGCATTTTGGGCAACAGCACTCTCAGCAAGATTGTTCCACAGAGTAGAAGCTCATTTTTCACCTAGTTGTACGTTGGATCTCAGACTCCCAAATGTTTGTGCTGATAATCGGTTTTCGAACAGGGTCATCAGTCTCGCGCGTCCTGTTCGGAGACAATATGCCTGCAACCACTTTCATCCCCTGCCGATATATTGGCACTTGGGGGAGTGATGAACAGTGGGATTGGGCGGTGGCCTTTGTAGGCGTCTCATGATTGCGCACCAACACAAGCCATCTTTTCATGCCCTACTCAACATTTTTCTATTTCGTAAACATTCATCACGTGTTCTTATGTCAGGAATTCTCAGAAATCACCGCTCCAAGCGGTATTACGTCCAATCAATTTTATTCCCCTTGGACGTTGAGATCTATCTGGGTTTCCCTCGAATTTTCAAATTGGCGCAGCTGTCTGTGCTAGGACCACGCCTTGTCCAATAGCGTTCAGCATTCGAGAATATAACGCTAAACTGGACTCCGATACAGCAACCGCTATGACTTCAATTGCTTTCCAGGAGCGTGCGTAGCATGGGAGATGCTTGATATGATTTACACTTGCTGGACATTAGTCTGCAGAGTGCAGGAGAATCCGTTTGTATTGTTTCGTCGTGGTATTCAAATATTTATGCCATTGGGTCGTTGGGTGTACTAAGGAGAAGCAGATTGTCTGATTGCATTAGCTCCCTTTACCGACACCGCTAGCACATCACCTTCCTGACGCGAGTGTGACTGCTTTTAGTCCTGGACGTGATATGCGGAAGACGTTCGACGTGTGATGGTGCAGCTGAAGAGCAAATAGACTGGTGCTTCCGACTTCTCAAGCACCTTTCAGAGGTACACTTGAGTATCTTATACTGAATCTTATTACTCGTCGTTGTTGTCGTAGTGGAAATCACTCACTCGTCAGCATGTCCCAGATATTCGCTCCCCTCGCTTCCTCAATGACTCTACTCCCAGCAGATGCCACCCCAATCATCATCCAACACACGACTCAAGCCTTTAACGTTCAGGCATGCTGTATCGATGATGGCGCATGCTACTGGTATGTAGTGTTCTGTGGAGAGCCGCTTGGTAGTCATTCACCTGTTAATAGCTAGCTAGGTCGAGGCCGAAATTGACGGGTGGATAATGGTAGAGACATTTGTTCGACGAAGCTGATCTTGTTTGGATTTTGTGTAAGGAATCATAACGCGCCAGTTAGGTTGGGATGGCTTCAGGCATCCCTGACACGTGAGACGCACAGATCTTGGCAGGCCCCTATTATTTGCTCTTACAACAATGACTTTCAAGTCCGAAGCCTTCGATGTCAGCGTGACCGTCCCTTGCAACTCTCCGGCACCCCCCTCATACGATGCAATTTCTACGTCAACCGTATCGGCAGATTCCATCTGGTCCAAGCTATGTCGCTGGATATTTCCCCGGGCCTCTTTACAATCCAAGCAAGAATGCCTATCATGCATCCGTGCAATTGTCTCCTCTCCCGATTACAGTCCTTCCTTCGTCGCTCAAACTGCCAGCGCCTGTGTTGCCACTCTCCCAGCAGCAGAGTTCTCCAAACTCTTGCAACAACCCAATATCGAGGATCACACGGCGCCGTATTGGGCGATCGTGAACAACCGCCTAGAAGCCCTGTGGGCGTTTATGGACTTCATTCCCGATCCATCGCCTGCTTGCTATTCTGATTTGCGTCTTGCGTGCATGATGGTTGGCGACAACACATTGTTCACGCAGCTAGACTTGCGCGAAATAGTTAGCTGTGAGTGCATGGTACTCGATGCCCCTAGAGAGGATTAGTTGATCATGCACTATCAGCCAAGGATGACTCCTTGAGACAGTTTTTGGGATGTACTCCAGACGAGGTTCAGATACAAGAGAGCAGTGGTCGCTTCGTTGCTTCTTTCTGTTTCAGGATGTTCCAGAAACGCCTTCGTACTGCACAGGCAATTGCCGTAGAATATCTTGCCAGAGGTATGTGGTCGATATTACTTCTCTTCCAAGTACTGATAGGAACGTCCTATTCACTGCATGCAGGCCGTATGTGGACGTTGTGGTTTTATTTGTGCAGTGATGGAAAGTGGGTTGTTGATTGTCGACTTGAAGAGCCCAGTTTGCCAGTAGAAGGAAGCAATCAACTTCGGATAGAGGCCCACAGAAAGTCGCCTGACTGTGCAACCCCGGAACCTCTAATCATTACCACAGAATTTTCATTGGCACCTGAGTAGGTTTATTGTTCCCGCTGTTAACTCAAGGCACTCATTTTACTTATGTGACTAACCCATCGCTCCCTTGTTCACTTGCTGTCCATTCTGTAGATCTGGCAGTTGCATCCCTCGTCCGTTAATATATTACCGCTTGGGTGATTGGCCTATGGACAAGTAAGTGTTCTTCATCAGTTTGATCTGTGTTGTGGGCTGGACTGGACCTGACCGTGTTGCTTTAGTGATACTGTATATGTAGACTGCGAAGGCACTTTACATATGTCGCTGACGATCACAGTGAAATAACGCTTGGATCCTGGAATAGATAAATGCAGGCCAGAAACAAACACATCATGTACATGTAAGATGTCAGATTGCTATCGAACGACTCTCTTAATATCGAAGAGGCACTGTTTGATCCACTGTCTACCTGGGGCACATGCAGTGCTTTATTCAATCGGGGCGAATCCAGATGGGCCACCATGTCCATTGGATGGACTGATTTTTCGGCTTCATCACAGACATGCAAGCCAGTGCGTGATCAAGAGTGTCCTGCATCTTGTACAAATTTTCTACTTGTCAGACCAATGCCTGCTACTTTGATAAGCAAGCCGATGATATATATTTACCAATTGACCGCTCAAGAGCACTGTCACAGCTGATCAAAAACAACTTTTTCTGCATCATCGTCGTAACCGTGTTCACGACCAGGGCAGAACTAATTCCTCGCGTTGACATGCGCCGGCTTACGGTGGCAGAGCCTCTTCAGAAAGTTAACACGATAAGTTATGTGAATCTACTTCCCTCCTTTCCCATCCCCGCTAGGAGAGTCCTCGGCAGGCCCAGAAATCACTGATCGAATAACGCAGTCAGTATATGCTTCGCAACAAAGGAAAGGTACAAGAAGACGAGCGAGTTGAGACTTATAAAAGTGACCTCATGTCGCATCACAAAAGAAACCGAAAACTCACGCAATGCCCCGAGAACAACAACCATATATATCCAATACTTCTGCACGAAACTTTTCTCAGGGACGGGTGCTACTGGCTCGCCTTCAGGCGTAAGCGGAGGTGGGATCCGCAACTCAGGTCTACAGACACGGATGTTGTGTCAGTCAAACAAGTTCAAGAACGTGAGAGAATGCATACAGAGGCGCCATCCGTGGTGACTTGAGTACCACGCTCGCATTATGTGCCGGGTAGCTCCCCATGTTCGTCACAGGACATATTCCATCTTGAGGTACAGGCGAAACGAAATAGTCGATCGCAAATGGTTCTCCCGTCGCAGAGAAATGGATAACTACATTTGCGGAAGTGGAGGAAGGGAGTAGGCACTATATGAAGTCTATCAATCCTTCACTCACAAATCGGAATAAAATATGGCTGACTGCTTTGATACTCGATACTGGCCCCTCCGATTCCAGACGCTCGATTGCGACGTGGTACATTGCACCCTGCATATTAGGATCGACTGCCTCTGAGAACTCTGCAAGGTCATCTCGTAATGACTCTGCCAGTGACAATGAGGCAGCTGAGCCAGTGGGTGAAATGGATTTGAAGGATGGGACGGTGACAGTTCCGAGCTCAGCCCATGGTGTCACCGGAAGGTCAGGGTGCACAACACGGTGTATTAAATGTAACTCGGTGGGTTCATGGGTTTTGGAGGTAACCAGCTGGCAGAACAGTGATGACGTTACTAGGAGCGTGAAGGATATTGGAATATACATGTTCAACGAGACTAGTCAGTGCACATGTGAAAGACTTAATGTTAGCACTGTGGTAGGACCCCGATATAACCTGGAGTGCCTAGGGGTCTCTCACTTGACTCGATATGATCTGCCAGTGATAGTTTCTTCAAGTCTGAAACCAGTGTGATCTAGAAAGCAATCCTGAAGTCCAGCTACACACTGCTGGCTTCATATACTCTATTAATCGATCATGCCCACTATCTCAGTAGACAAAGCCGAACTTTTCGAGCGGCTCGGACATCACTATAGTAGGTCCTCGTCCAACCGTGTTTTCTATACGTCTAATCACATCGCAGCCACGGAGGAATTCGATAGTTTGTGCTTTGACTATGGACTAGAATTAGATGAAGACGTACGCCCTTCTTTAGTTTTTCTATCGCCGGAATAATTGCTGAACCAATAAAAAGACCACAGCGGAGGTAGAAGCTGCGATCAAGAAAGGACTTCCCGCAGAACGTCCCGTGCGTCTCGATTTCTAGTTTACTAATTACACTTGTGCTTATACTTTGCTATAGCAATTAAAAATCGAAGTACCCGCAAACAGGTGTGCTGCCAGTCAGCGCAACCGCAATGCACATCTGACTAGCACGCAGATACGATCTGGTCTGTCTAGAAGGTATCTCCCGCGCCTTGCGCGCTTTTCTAGGAAAACAAGATCCGCCGCAGTATACACTCGCATATCCCCCAGGCGGTGAGAAAGATCTCATCACCGTGACCGTCTCCCAAGAGGTACGCTTACCCCTCGCATTGTCCGCATTAACAAACATTACCACTCCCACTCCCAGACCCAACGCATCCGTCCTTTCTTCGCATGTGCAGTGCTTCGCAACATCAAATTCACGTCCATGAGCTACGCGTCCTTCATTGACCTCCAAGACAAACTACACCAAAACATCGGGCGCAGGCGAAGCCTCGTTGCCATCGGAACACATGACCTCGACACCCTCACCCCTCCGTTCCGATACGAAGCCCGTACACCCACTAACATCTCTTTCGCGCCTCTCGGTCGGGAAACAGCGCACACCGCCGCAGAGCTCATGCAGATTTACGAGTCGGACAAACACCTCTCCCGGTACTTGCACATCATCCGAGATTCTGATGTCTACCCAATCATTTATGATGCAAAGGACCACGTATTGAGTATGCCCCCCATCATCAATTCGGAGCATAGTAAGATCACGTTGGAGACCAAGAATGTATTCATTGATACAACTGCCACGGATGATACGAAGTTGCAGATCGTGATCAATATGGTTGCGAGTATGTTTTCGGAGTATTGTGCTGAGCCTTTCACGTGCGTCGTTTTGGGCCTGTAGTTTGATTCGGGGAGCTGAAGATCTGTTGTTAGGATCGAGCCTTGCAAGATCGTTTTTCCTGACGGTTCGACGCGCATATCTCCTGATATCACACCACGTACAGTGACTGCACGCGCCTCGTATATCAACTCCTGCACCTCTCTTTCCCTAACGCCCTCCACAATCCAGTCCCTTTTAACGCGCATGACCCTCTCACCCACCCTCTCACCTGATGACCCCGATGCTCTAATCGTCTCACTTCCATGCACGCGTCCGGACATCTTCCACGAGGTCGACATAATGGAAGACGCAGCAGTCGCGTACGGGTTCAACAACCTCCCAGATATCTTCCCCCAGACCAGCACAGTCGCACAGCCTTTACCGATCAGCAAGCTCGCGGATGTCATCCGGAAGGAATGGGCGATGGCAGGATGGGTTGAAGCGTTACCTTTCATTCTCGTATGTCTCTTCCCTCCCTTCCCCTCCTCCACCTCAGCGCACTTAAAACACACTGAACAAAATCCAATAGTGCTCACACGAAGAAAACTTTTCCTTCATGAACCGCCCCGACCCCGGTTCCCTAGCAGTAAAAATTGCCAATCCCAAAACCCTCGAATTCCAAGTAGTCCGCACGTCCCTCCTACCAGGGCTCCTTAAAACCATTCGCGAGAACCGCTCACACGCACTCCCAGTCCGTGTTTTCGAACTCAGCGATGTTGTGTTCAAAGATACATCCCGGGAGAGACAAGCGCGAAATGAGAGACATGCGGGTGCGGTGTGGTGTTCGAGGAGTGCGGGGTTTGAGGTCGTGCATGGGTTGTTGGATAGGGCTATGAAGATGTTGGAAGTTCCGAGGGTTGGGAGGGGAGATGGGAAGGATGTGGGATATTACATCAAGGAGGGGGATGGTATGTTTTGGTTGTTTTTTGCGTGACGTAGTACTAATGTGTTTTAGATCCTGCGTACTTCCCTGGACGCGCAGCGACTATTTATTACCGCCCGCCACCCTCAAAGACCTCAAAAACACGTGAGCTTGCTGATGAGCTCAAGAACACGCTTCACATCAATCAAGACCGAGACATCGTGATCGGCACGCTGGGCGTGTTACACCCCACCGTACTCGAAAAGTTCGAGATCACATACCCTTGCTCAGCCCTAGAATTCAACATGGAAGTGTTCCTGAAGCGGTCATAGTTGACGACTGGAAATAAATTGCGCAGAAGGATATAGGATGTACTTGAAATGAAATCTAATCTCGAGAGACGAAAAGACGCCAAGAAACAGATTTGCGATAAATACGACTGTATGAACGATTGTGACCATTATCGTTTTAATCCTAGAAAAATAGATAACGTCTGTCGTGAAAAGCATAATACACGGTACATCCTCTCCTTGAAGTCTGAAGCTCGAACGACTTTACAAGAGGCCTGCAGCGCGCAAGTCTTCGCACAGCCTGCGCTCGCGCTCAATTGCTCGCCTGATCCGACGTGCATGGTCTGGATCGGTTGGAACGAGCGATTGCATTTCCAACGTTGTATCTCTGCCAACCATATCATCACCAACATGGGAAGGCACCCGTTCCAATCCGTCTGCACCCGAAGATCCTGTTCGTGAAGGAACGCGGAACATTCCGAGACGCTCAAAGAGTGACTGCCTCCTTGTCTCATCGTCTGCTGTTGGCTGTGACGCGGTAGAATTGGAAGAAGAGGAGATGATGCCGCGTTCCCAGCGCTTAACGCGCCAGAAACCGAAAACGCTTGTGAGAAGGAGGAACCAACCGGCTGTCATGAGGAAGAAGGAAAGCCATTCACTGGCTGCTGCGTTTGCGAGGAATCCATTGTTCCCATCTTCTCCTTCTCCGGAGTTGGACCAGGAAGATATGTGGTCGGTAGAAGCTAGTGTGGTGTTGTTAAGACGGTCGAGGTTGGCGTCCAACCACTCGTTGGCGTCTTGGGCGCTTGCGAATGTGGGCCAGGCATCGGCTGGGTCAGAGCCCAGAGGTGTACCATTTGTGTCGTCTAATCGCGCGCGGAGGCCAAAGCCCCATTGGATTAAAGTGACTCCGAGACCTGCCCTGCTGCCGTAGCGAGCGGCGTGGGTTGTGTGCATGACCCATGTGAGAACAAAGCCGACGAATTGAAAGGTGGTGCTGATAAGGGCGTTCCAGAGGAAGGAGAAAAGGGTGCCTGTGGGAAGGCCATCTACGACGACACAGCCTTGGGAGTGAGTGAGGGATGCATGAACGGAAGAGGGAAGGAAGATTGAATGAGTGTGGTAAGGAGGAGCAGCGTCAGCTTGAGCTGCTGCGTAAGTTGGGGGAGCTGTGTTGGAAGATTCTTCTGGAACGAGGTATACGTTGTCTCCTGCGAAAAAGTCAATACGTTCTTTGATAAATGATTGATTGATGGTTACCTTCCTGAACACGTACGCCTTGTGATGGTTTGGCAGCTACGTTGCTGAATACGCCGTCATTTCTGGTGCCTCCTCCAATGGGAGTGCGAGAGCTAGCTTCAGAAGTGAAGCCCCATCTGTTGACATAATGGGATGGTAGGATGGTAGTTGCGGTTCGCTTCCACCATGGCCCTGTTGGGGGCGGGGGCAAAGAGTCTAGTGTAAAGACAGGTATTACGCCATTGGAATTTCCGAATTCATTGGGTACAGCATGAGAAGATGGTTGTGGGGGAGAACCAGGAGGAGGTTGGTCGTAGTCGCAAATCGGAGACTCGAAATTATAAGATGAAGAATTCAAAGGATTTGGATAAGTCAGAGGACTCGATTCATCTAGGTCATAACCGCTGTGGTCGTCGTCGTCGTCTTGATCGTCGAAAGCAGCTTCTAGTTCTGTTGAATCTGGGTCCGTACGTGGATTAGGGAGTGGAGCATAACGATTAGACATGGTATGAGACGAAGGAGGATTACATCAATAATAAATAAATAAAAACAACCAACACCATCAGCTAAGCCCTTAGCTAAGCACCTATAAAGAAACTACTTTGACCGTAAACCGGACCGTTAGGCGGTGAGCACCCTGGTGAACCAGCTCCACTGGCGTTTCTAACCATCCTAGTAACCCGCTCGCAGCTCTCCATCCTAGCTTGCATCATCCTCTCAAACATTTCTAAGATCTCCACTCCAGGCTCCCTTCCACTAGATCCAAGTACAGGTTGTCCTCCAGTCTGGTTGCTGTGAGCAAACGCCGGTAACATCGGTGGTGGTGCACGCTGCTTCACGATTCCACCTCTAGGCATTCCTCTCGTCGTTGCAATTCCCTCTAGCTTTAATCCAAATGCCTTCTTTCTCTTCACCCACTTGCTTGTTTCAGATGTTTCTTCAGTAGAGTCTGGCTCCTCCTTCTCCATCTCTCCTTCTTCATCTACCGTTGCTACTGTGCTAACGTCTCGTTCTTGTAGTGTCATCTCTAGTTGTGCACGTGTGCGATACACCCACATCCGTTCCTGATGATAGAACGCGACTAAATTCTCGAGAAGCGTAATTGTCGATTCGACAGGATGTAATCCGACCCGTGGTGGTGAGGAGGGCGGTGTGGGTAGTAGTGTATTCATAGCCATAGTCGCTTGTTGTTGGGCGTAAGACTGCTGCTCGACGTACCCTGACGAGAGCATCGTATAGAATAGTCTAGATGTTGTACTCGAGAATCCAAGATGATAAGACACGAGACTAGAGGCGGTAAGGGAAAAAGTCGAAAGTGCCCTAGTTATAAACTCGCATGATTTGGGCTGGCCCCTCGGCCTAGACTATTCTTTATTCAGCCCGCAACCAATCACAATTCGGCACCATGCACCCCAATTTACTGCGGGGTTACATGCGGGGTTACAATATTATATAATGTCATGTTAACTTCATCAGGTTAGATCAACATCAATATCATTGGCGGGGGAACTTGTCGGCCAACGGTCGTAGTTCCTTCTCAGGTAAAGGTCTACCCTCAGCTTTGAGCTTCCAGCCCATCTCCATAAATTTCTTTTAGCATCACCTCGGTGATGCAACAATATGAGTTACCCATGCACTAATATCACACGACACACCTTGTGATTTCCGGCGCTCAGGTCATACCCCTTCCTCTACCTCCATCATCATGGCCCCCATCATCCGACCAGCCACAAAAGCTGACCTGTCTGCCCTCTCCAACATTTGCTTGCTCACCGCAAACGCGGGCACATCATCCGAGCACTTGCATTCCCATCCTGCCCTCCCAGGTCTTATCTACGCTCTCCCCTACCTCAGCCTTGAATCAACATGGGGCTTTGTGCTTGAAAACGATGGAGAAGTAGTAGGGTACACTCTCGGCGCCTTCGACACCCGCAAATTCGAGGAGAGTGCAGAAGCGGGCTGGTGGCCCTCGCTCAGAGCCCGTTATACACCCCTGCTGCAAGACTCTGACGCAGCCCTCACGCCTGCAGATAAAGCTTATATCAACACCATAATCACCTTCCCAAGAGCAAGCGATGCAATGATGGCGTTCGCACCTGCCCATCTGCACATCGACATTCTGCCAAGCCATCAGCGGCAGGGATGGGGGCGGAAGTTGATCGCACGCGCGATGGAGAATTTGAAAGAAAATGATGTAAAGAGCGTTTGGTTGGGCATGGATCCAAAGAATACAGAGGCGGCTGCATTTTATTCCCGATTGGGTTTCAGGAAGTTCGAGGGCGCAGAGGAGGGCATTATGGGTGTCACAGTGCATGAGTGGGAGGAGCATGCTGTTTAAAGTTCAACTGCGAATACAACGGTTCTTGATGACGCTGATACTGGGCACTCCTAGCGAACATTTCAATTGTGGAGCCAAATATCCGAGATGTGGTAAGCTAGATGCTATCCACTCAAAGGCGGCGCTGATTGCGTCCCGTCAGTGATTGATCTAAGAAATGAGCCTCAGCATTATGTGCTCACTGGTGCAAATCTGTGACCTACCCATCCAATCGCAAGTCGTAGACTTGATCGTGACGAATCCCCGTGCTTTGTGTAGCTATTTGAGGGACGTAAGTCTATCTCCTGCATACTCATTTGACGAGGGCACCTTTGGCCTACAGGTCACCTTGGCGACTTATGCACGAAATCACTGCCCACATTCAACTACTCGTATCGTCCGTACTTCTGTTCAATATTGCGATCGGCTCAATTTAGAATTTGGCTGGACACTGTTTCACTCTTGGTGACTATTGGTCTAAATTGAAATGTCCCAGATACTACTTTCCTTCGTATGTTCCAGTTCGAGCCTATATCGACCGTCTATCTTTCTCTCCTGCCACCCCACCGAACCATACGCCTTCATCGGCATCCTCCTCAGTGACGCTATCAGCTTTCTCGCAGTCCTCGCCTCGAAAGCTGGACTTTCGTTGTTATCCAGCAAGTCATGTCACATAGCAACCCATATCCCAATGGAGACTCAGGCCGTCACCCACCACTGTCCTCTACAAACACTCTCCAGCGACGCCAAGCCCAAAGGCAATCGCTAAATTCTTCTTTCGAACAGCAGCAGCGACAAGCGCGACCCTCTATCAGCACTAGTCACATTTCACGTATTCCTAGGCCTCCTTCATTCAACCCGAGTCCGCGCTTTGTTGAGCACATTTTTCCTGAGTCCCAAATTCCTGAACCCCAAACCCCTGAATCTATAAGACCTCCGACCAGGGGGCCTCGTGCGTCAGTACCAGACTTCACAGATCCCTTCTCAGCTCAGGCCCATCTCCGAGCGTCACGAAGCAGGCGACCGACGCTCCCAGGTTACGCGTCGGAGGCTCCAGTTGCTCCTGACCAAAGGTTTCGTGGTTGTGCTCACAATGATTCAGAGTCTACGCTATACGAAGGCGAGGACTCCAGATATTCAATGTCGTCCTATCAGCACCCCTATGATATCCCTCCACCGCGAAATGTGTACATGTGGAACGACGATGAGCGGCATGTTGACTTTCGGAATAGTGAGGGGACTTTAACAGATATCGAGGCGCAGACGTCGGACGGCAAAGATAAGTATAAGGAGTATGACGATGTCAGGCTGGATGATGACGACAAGGACGCGGACGATGACAATGACTTTGATCATTGTGACGCCAACGACACGGACGGAAGAAGACGTGGCCTGTTCTCTAACCTCATCGACCTGTATGGAGTCGATGCCGAGGGCGAGAACGTCCCTTTCCAACGCCGTCGTTTTGCTCAGCTTCACGATGAGTACGACGAAGAAATGGGCGGTGCACCCATGCGAAGATCGAATACGGATAATTCCCAGTACTCGCAGCTGCTGGACCCAGATGACCCTACTATTACTGGTGTGAGGAAGAAGTGTCTTGATGACTATGACGACGAGAAGCGGACGGCACTGAGGCAGATGGACTATCGCAAGCGTAGAAAGGAGAAACAAAAGATCAAGATCGAGTTTAACGTTACTTGTAAGTCTTCCTTTCTGTCCGCGCAACTGGAGCTCATTGCAGGGTTCCAGCCATCATCCATCGCCACAACTTCCTACTCAAGCTTGCAAAAGCGTTGATGACGTTCGGTGCGCCTTCTCACCGTATCGAATCCCAACTTCTTGCAGCAGCGCGCATCCTCGAAGTCGACGCCGAGTTCATCCATCTACCGAGCGTCATCATCTGTTCCTTCGGCGACAACGACACAATGACTTCGGAAACCCACTTCATCAAGTCCGGTGGAGGTCTTTCATTGGGCAGCTTACACAAGGTCCACATCATCTATCGCGCTGTGGTGCACGACGAAATCAGTGCGCGGAAGGCGACGGAGCAACTTGACGAGCTGTTGTTGGCGAAACCGCTGTACCCGTGGTGGTTCAGGTGTATTCTGAGTTTCTGGTTATCTGTCTTAATCTGTCCGCTGGCGTTTGGAGGCTCGTTTATCGATATGTGGATCGCAGGCTGTGGCGCTTTTGTGTTGTGTTTCCTGCAACTCAGGGTTGCTGCGAAGAGCGCTATGTATGCGAACGTCTTTGAGTAAGATCTCTCGATGTTCGCATTTTTATCGTGATATTCATGGTCTGCTAGGATTACAACAGCGATGTTGGTGTCCTTCACGGCACGAGGGCTCAGTAGTATCAGAAGCGAGATCTTCTGTTATACGGCTGTCTCGTCCTCTGCAATCATCGGTATTCTTCCCGGTTATTTGATCCGTAAGTACTTCTTCTAGAGTCATTTCTCTCGCTGACCTATTTCCAGTGAGTAGTTCCTTGGAGCTGGCCTCTAAAAATATCGTCTGCGGTAGCGTTAAAATGGTATACGCCCTCATCTATACGCTCTTCTTGGGTTTCGGTCTGCAGATCGGGTCAGATCTATACCTCCTATTCGATCCAACCGCACGACACCACCTCACCACACTTGCCGCCGACATCTCCACGAGCGCCACCATCGTCGGCACGTTCGCAGCGGACAACTCCACAAGTGGCAACTCATCGCTCTCCTCGGGGTTAGGACCCGTCTACGGTACTTTCACCTTCACGAACAATACGAACGTGATGCAGACAGACATCATCGATGGATGTTACCGCCCAAAACACTTTGGCTGGTACCTCCAGCCCTTCCCCTTTTGGACGCAGTTCGTCATCGTCCCATTGTTCAGTATCCTATCGTCCCTCGCGAATCTGCAACCGTGGCGGAGCAGACAACTTCCAGTGATGGTGGTCATCTCGTGCGCGAGTTACGCGAGCAACAAAGTCGCTAATCACTATATCTTCAATCGGAGCGATATCGTGAGCGCTATCGGGGCTTTCACTGTGGGATTGCTAGGGAATGTTTATTCGAGGAAGATGGGCGGGACAGCGTTTACGAGTATGGTTACGGGTGTGCTGTTCCTTGTACCAGTGGGTGCTATCTCTTGCTGTGTTTCTTAGGGTTTGCTGATGACGATTTTGTAGTCGGGTCTGTCGCAGGCGGGAGGCATCACAGCAGATGGAAGCGGTGTGGACATTGGAAGTGCCATGATAGCCGTCACGATCGGTATCACGGTTGGGCTGTTCATGTCCCAAGCGCTCGTGTACATGTTCGGCTCGAGGAAGAATGCTGCTGTATTCTCATTCTAAGCTTTTTCAAAAAATCCTATTTATTGTCTTGGGGCAATGCCCGATGTAGACGGTACATGCCATATACTTCTGTGTAACTACTAGTCTGTAATAATTATGAACCATTGGCTCATTCTGAGCTTACCTTACGGTGCTGTTCTGAGCTGTACCTACACTGACTGCACTGATATTGTTTACAAAAATTATTATTGCCTCAGTTTATTTTATTTTGTGTGACACTCGTTAAGTGTGCACTTAAAATTATACGATACATCATCGGTATCTTCTAAATCAGCGTACACCCCTTCAAACGCATCTAGAACATGACGGCCGGCGAGTTCTCCACATTCTCAATGGACGTCTTGTGCCCGACAAGCGTTCTGATGTTGCTAACACCATACCTGTGTCAAGAGCTTCAGTATCACGCCCCGATAATAGAATGCAGGAAGGAGTGGGACAATACAACTAGGCGAAGGAAAGACTACTCACCGAATCATAGTTGGTCGTTCGAGCCCGATTCCCCATCCGTGCACACGCACATCAGGCGGGAATCCCATAGGTGCAAGCATTTCGGGGCGGAACATGCCACTGTTCCCAATCTCGACCCATTTTTCAAGGAGGGGGTGCCAAGCGAAGATCTCAAGAGAAGGCTATCGTGTTTCAATCAGTACCTGAAATGGAGAGGAGGGTCAAGACACACCTCTGTGTACGGGTTATACGCAGGTTTGAACCTCAGATTCTTCATTCCCATCTTCCGGAAGAAAGTCCGCATGAAACCTGTGCAGATGCAAGGTTATTAGCAAATGTCCATATGGAGGGAAAATAGATAGAGGAAGGATCCACAACGCACCAATCAAATCTGCAAGTGTTAGATTCCGATCTGCAACAACGCCCTCAACTTGGTGAAATTCTGCAAGATGAGTAGCATCCATTGTCTCATTACGGAACACGCGGTCAATGCTGAAGAGTTTTGCTGGTCTGAACCCATCATCACTCAGATTTGCAGCTCCAGGTTGCGATTTCGCGGACAGGTCACCGTCGATATCTTCGCCTCGACACTTGGCTGCGAGTTTGTATAGCATGGCAGCGGATGAGGCAGTCGTATGCGTACGCAAGAGGAGCTTATGCGATTCCTCGTGTGACCAGGGCGTGCGGTAACCGATACTATCATACCCACCGTGCTCATGCACATGTGCGACGCGTTCGTAGTAATCGGATGGCGGAGGGAGGGATGTCGAGGGATCTATAAGATTTCGATAAGTTGACAAATGCAAGGGAGGCAGGCACATACCAGAGAGATAGAAGGTATCTTGGAGTTCGCGTGCAGGATGTAGCTGGGGAACGAAAAGTGCATCGAAGCACCAGAATCCGGATTCAACGAAAGTGCCTGTGGGCATTTCTTCAAAACTGTAACATCCGCAATCAAAGTGTCTCAGAATTCTGCAATAATTGCACTATGAGATGATCACGCACCCCATTTCTAAGAAAATGCTACGGATCTCCTCACGGACTTTAAGGATAGGGTGGAGAGCGCCGCCGGATGTGGGTATCCCGTCTGCGTCAAAGTTATATTTTTTGAAGGTGGATTTTTTCCAAGAGCCGCTAGGGTTAGAGCAGTATGAGTTTCAACGCTACTGCATTAGGACACTAAACTCACGAAGTGAGCATATCAACGGTCAAATCGGTCTCCGGTTTTGCAATCGAAGTACTAAAATTTGCGCCCTTATGCACGGTGAACCACTGGCCCTTTCTTTGCAACAGTCAGACTTGATAATTTACGTTGGAGGAACAAGTAGAACCTTTGTATGATAAGCTTGCGTTTTCGTAATTCAGCGAGCGCTTTTTCACCGGCCACGAGTGTCCCTGACGACTCTAACTCGCGCAGCTCTGTATGTGTCGTATCTGTAATATTGGAGACCTACCGGCTCATTAATTGCAGTCATAGAAATATCAGCACGAAACACGCACGGCTTTGA